GCACCTTCTGGAACACTGACCTGGGCTCTCTGCACGCGGCTCCTGCTTATTCCCGCACAGACCCCTGGTGCTGGGCCTCTTTCCCCACACACTCTTCTGTCTCTTCTTCAAGTTCAGAGTGACAACCCCAGCAGGAAGACACAACCGCGCTCTGCAGCGGTAATGTTGGAGGCAGGGAGGCTGTGCTGCAGGTGCTCTTTGCAGTAAGGACAGTGGCAGATGCTGTTGCCAAAGGCTGTGCTGTGAAGTCACAGATGCACAGCGAGGCCTCAGCGCCTTCTCCTCCGTGTCTGCGAAAAGCAGAGGCCTGTTGCTCAAGCGCTGGTTGGCCATTCTGAGTCTAGATGGTTTCTGCTCTTAATGACCTCATCGATCAATAACTGGTGTCTTGGCCCCCATGTGATCCTTCATGGTCACTAAAATCTATGTAGCATTTGTGGAAGCATAAAGAATTTCTCCAGTCTCTGTCCTCTCCCTGTGTCTGCCTGTCCCTGCCAGCTCTCCAGACCCATGCCTTCAGTCCTCTGCCCTCTGATGCTTCTGAGCCTGACCCCACTTATAAGCCTTCTGTGCTCACCCCGCGATATTGTTTTGTTCTCCAGTTAAAGAAAGTACAGACAATAACCACCAAGTCGAACTCCATCAGACAGGGGAAAAACCAGCTTTTCCCTGTAGTGATGAATGGCAAGGACGATGATTTGTGGTGCACTGAGCTCGAAAGGTGAGCGCATAGTTACTTTGCTATTGCTGTGATAGGACACAAGGACATTTATAAAACAAAGGGTTTATTTGTGTTTATGGTTCCAGAGGAATTAGAGTCCATGATATCAGGGAAGTAGGAAATGTGGCAGTAAGCACGGTGGCTCCAGAGGAAAGCTAGAACTTCCATCTGCAAGCGTGAATACAGAGAGAGAGAAAGTGAACTAAAAATGGTGGACTCTTTAAACTCACAAAGGTCTCCCCCAGTGACATGCTTACTACAGCAAGGTCGCATCTTCTCAACCTACCCCAAAAGCATTACCAACTGGGGACTGTTCAAATGTCATTATCAACTGGGAACTGTATTCAAATGTCTGAGACTATGGGGTGCTTATTACTCATTACCACAGTGAACAAGGCTGCACTTGGAAGGGCAATCTGTGGGGACAGAAACAGGAAGGAGAATGTGTAGTCTGAGCCAGCAGTACACACAACATTAGTTCCTTAGCTTTAGCTGCCTTGGTTCCTCCAGGGCCCACTGGCCTATGTAGTGGGGTCTGCGTGATAACAGCTTTTCAGAACTAGCCCTTATTTTCCCGCAGAAATGGTGGCATGTGGTAATGAGAAATCTCAGGGATAAACAAGGTTATTTGATAGTACTGCCTCTCGGTCACCTGCACTGCCCTGACATTTCCCTGTCCCAACTTTCTGGGTTCTTTGGAAAATGGGAAACACCTCTGCAATTTCAGCCACACTCCTCATGGGGCAGCTGATTCCTCCTTGATCATGGATGTCTTTGATCTCTCACACTTTATTGGGCTAAGTGGTCCATTGTCATGTGAAGATCCGTCTCTTGGATTTCAAGTTTTTTTCTTCTTTTTCTTTTTTATGTTGTACCTCTATTCTGAAGACTTTAAGACTTTTGTATTGAATATTTTCAACACAAATCTCAGTCCTGGTTTTATTTTTTTCTTTAACAAATAGTGTTAATAAAAATATAACTGCTTTTTAGGGGTAAGGCAAAGTCTCACTCTGTAGCCAGCTTGGAACTCAGTATGTAGCTAGGCTGGCCACAAACTCATGGCAAACTCATGGTCACAAACTCTTGCTTTGGTCTCCCAAGTGCTGCACGACAGGCATGATCTACCACGCACAGCCTAGAAAGTTAATTTCTGGGTTGGAGAGAGGGATCAGCAGGTAAAGATATTTGCTGCTCAAGCCAGATGACCTTAATTTGACCTAAGAAAGTTGCCCTCTGCCCAAACACATATACGCATGTATATGCACAAACAAAATTCAAATAATTGAAAAATAGTAATTTCTCATTAGTAGAAAAACTGTAGATAACATTGCTCAGTCTATCTACGAAGAGAACCTTCTGGAAACGCTAGCATAAGGCGTTCAGAGTTGTGATTCAGAGGCCTGGGCAGAAGGATGACACAGTGGAGCTTTCAAAGCAAAGGAAAGCAACCCTGGGGACAGCCATTGGCCTATTGGTGCTGTTTCTAGAACTGGATTTTAAAAATTTATTTCTTTAAAATATTATTGCATGTGGATTGTTGTTTTGCCTGAATCTATGTCTGTGCTTGGACAAATGCCGTTGGCAGACTCTAAACTGTAGTAAACTGAACTGGGGCTGAAAAATCTGCTCTGCTCTTTTCGGAGTAGCTTTGTTCCTTCTTAAAGAATGTGCAGGACTGAGGAGAGGGCTTAGGCATTAAAGTACTTGTCAGGCAAGCATGGGGTTTTGAGTTCAAGATAAGTAAGGCAAGCAGAACAGGAGGATCCCTGGCATTGCTGACCGGCCAGCCTAGCCTAATATGTAGATTCCAAGAGACCCTGTCTCAAGAAACAAGAGAGGTGAATGCATGGTCCTTGAGGAATGACACCTGAGGACTTAGGATGACCGCTGGCCACATGGACACAGACATGTGCACACATACATCTCTTCACCCCAAGAAGTCGCTAAACTTCTCTTATTGTGTTTTAGAGTCAAATACAAGTGGGTGGGCTGATTGACAGTCATTCATGGATTAATTCACACTAGGCATTTAAAAATGGTCCCTGTAGAGCACCTAAGGACCAGAAGCACAGTCCCTGTGAGGGTGACACAAGACAGCATCAGTGCCCTGTGACTGTTATAGTTGTATCAGCTGTCAGCAAGTATTCTGAGGAACCAGTGGGGTCTAGAAGGTTCCTTTAAGCCTAATAGTCCTGAGTGAAGCCTGGTAGCCTTCCTAGGCCTGACTTCCAGAACAGTTGTTCTTGTGTACTAGGGACCTGGGTCTTTCTAACCTGGTGCCTTTTCACTCTGTTCTTCCCAGGATCTTCGGCTTTCCTGCACACTACACAGACGTGTCCAACATGGGCCGTGGTGCCCGCCAGAAGCTGCTGGGGAAGTCCTGGAGTGTGCCAGTCATCAGACACCTCTTTGCCCCCTTGAAGGACTATTTTGCATGTGAATAGTTCTGGAGTCTTGGGGTCATATTGATCCTCGAAGCACCCTTCCTTAGTTTACCTCTTGGGGTCTCACTATATCCTCAGCTCTCTTCTGCTCAGTGGTAGCAGAGCCTCCTGTCCCTACGGGGCACCTCTCTGTGCACAGCTCAGAACCTCTCTGTGCACATCTTACAGTGGCCCAACATGGTCCTCATGTTTTCCAAGTTTAAAACTTTAAAACCAAGCTGAGTGGTGGTGGTGCACGTCTTTACTCCCAGTGCTTGGGAGGCAGAGGCAGTCGATCACTGTGAGTTCGAGACCAGCCTGGTCTACAGAACAAGTTCCAGGACAGTCAAGACTACACAGAGAAACCCTGCATTGAAAGACCAGAGTCATGTGACAACATGGGAGAAACTGTGCTTTGTTTCTGCTGATTTTTAGGCTGAAAGATAACAGATGCATAGAGTTTTCCCTTTTGTTTCATTAAAACCAGTGTTTCTCAGCAATAATCTCATCTGCACTTTGTTCTTCTGTGGAAGTGTGCTGTTGGTCATCCATGCATTAAGCACAGGGATGCCTGGGGTCCACAGGGACTCATGGTGCTCTCAAAGCCCTGCACTACCGTGCCCTGGGGACTTCCGACAGTCAGTCCTTCTCTAGCCCTATTGGCAGTATCACTTCATCTGTGACTGCTCCAGGGAGGACAGCGGGCTAGGACATTTAAGCCCTAGATTCTAGTTATTTTCTGTTTCTCTGAGCTGATGAACCTAGTGGCACATCTTTAATCTAAGCATAGGGAAAGCAGAAGCAGGTGGATCTTCAGGAGGTCAGGACAGCCCAGTCTACACATGAAGTTCCAGGCTAGCCAGGGCCACACAGTGAGACCCTGTATGAAACAAAACATCCCCTCTGCCCAGAGAAAACAAAAGCGAAAACCAACGCAAAACCCCACACTCTAACCCAAAGCAACCCAGCATTTATTTGGCTTGCATTTCCAGGTCCCAGACCATCATCGAGAGAAGTTAGGGCAGGAACTCCAGCAGGAACTGAAAGCAAAACCATGAAGAAAGGCTGCTTACTGGCTGACTCACTGATTTGCTCAGCTAGCTTCTTACACAGCCTATGAATAGCACCTGTCCAAAGTGGCCTGGACCCTCCCACATCAATCATCAATCAAGACAATCTTTCAGAGACCTCGCCCCAGGCCAATCTGACCTGGGTAGTCCTTGAATGAGACTTCCTTTTCTCAGGTGACTCTAGGTTGTGTCGAGTTGACAAAACCAACTAACTAGGACACCTGGCAAAGGCTTGGCTGTGTCACCTGTCTCCAGACTTCTTAGGAAGCTAAGATGATTGGTACCCAAGCAGAAGAACATGAGTCCTGATGTCTACGGTTCCTTACAGCTTCCGTGGGAGCCTACTGAATCCCACTTCCCTATTGTCCAGTTGACAATTTTATCTTTAAAGACCAGGCTGGCTGGGAATGGCTCTTGTGATTCTAACAAGCTTTTTAAGTTTTTGATTTTATCTATTATTATTATTATTATTGTGATGATGATGATGAGTGTTTAGCACAACATATGTGTGGAGGTCACAGGACAACTTTGTAGAATGGGTTCTACTTCCTTCTTTACATAGGCCCTGGGTATCATATTCAAGTCATCAGACTTGGGCAGCAGCCTCCCTCACCATGAAACATTTCACAGGCACTTAACGTGATCTTTTATCTAGACTGGTTTACAGTGAGTTGGATGCCCAGACTAACATCATATCTATCGGCCATTTAAAGATGTACTTGTTTCTTTGCACTCAAAACTGTAATTGTCTCCAGTGACTCCTCCTTAGTTTAGTCAGAGACAGCTAGCAACCAAGGTGTTCAACACCCAGAGCCCAACATGACATGCTCCTGCCTTTAATTAAGAAGTAGGGGCAAAGGAGAGGCCATATTTTAGTTACTAGCATGTGGGTAAGATGTGAATGGGGGCATGTGACCCTACATCAACCTCACACTGATCCCTCTCTGCATCATGGTGTGACATGGCTTGACCTTCATAGGTCAGGGCCTCACAGGGTCTGGATCAGCGTTAACTAGTAGCAGGTAGGGTGTGAAGAAGCTTCGCAACTGGAAGGATGGGAAACCATACAGGTTGTTAGAAAGTTGCCTCTGGCTAGAGAGTCCCTGGTGAGATTTGCCATGGTGACACAACTGGCAATTAGCAAAAGAAGGGGCCTGTATACTCTACTCTCTGAGGACTTGGGACCAGAGGGATGGCTGCTGCCCAATTAAGCCATCTTGTGTACAGCTCTGCACCAAATGCCAGGACAAGATGAAGCGGAATAAGCAGCTCCCTCCTCAGAACCTCAAAAGAAGGAACCGACGGGCCCTCCAGGTGAGGGGCTCTGGGGTGTCCCGGCCTGCTTGTGAGGCAGCTGGTGGAGACCTCGAGGGGGGCTGTTGTAATCTGTAACTTTTCTCAGGCTAGGCTAGGCTTGAATCTGAGTGACCCAGGCTGTGTGACTGTGGGAGAGGACGGACATATTGGGACAAGTGTTGGAGTTGGCATCCGATGGAGGTCTCTTGGAATGCTCTTGTGGGTTTGTGTCTGGGGTCTGTCACGCTGCTGTGTTGCCTCGAGCAGATGCCTTGAGTTCTGGAGCGTTTAATTTCACATTTAAAAGGCAAGATGGATACATCCTATACACTTTATAGGTTAGTGAATTCCATGGGCGTGATCTGGAGAAAATGCTTTGCTTGGTGCCCCTAAGGCAGCAGGCCTTACACTTGAAACAGACAGCATTAAGAAAATGAAAGCCATCTGTCATCCTGGTGTTAATGGCAGTGAAGATGTGGTAATGAAAGCAACAAACAACGTTTATGAATCACAAAATCCTTAAAAAAAAAAGATGGGGCAGTATTGCCCAGATGTGCAACAGCTGCCCACTGATACCAATGTTGGCAACAGCAGCATCTGGTGTTGTGTCCTCACTGTCCTATACTATCTGAGTTCTTAGTGTCCCTTGTTAGGGAAGGAACAAGGTGGCTTTGGGGGCGAGGTGGGGATCTTGTCCGAGTTTCAGAACCTGGCTCTGGCCGTGTGGAGGAGCACGGTGAGCACCAGGCACATAACTCTCCCATTCTTCCATCTCTCGTGTTTTCTAGCTAAGTGATGAAGTGTAGGTAATAGGATGTTCTTGGTCCTTTATTTTTCTCTGGAGCCAGATTATCTAGGGTCCCATATTGGTGGCCTATTTCTTCTTGTGAATGTGGGTGTTTTGGTATCTTCATTGGGTCTCTCCACTCCCCAGTTATGAACCTTCAGCCTCACATGGGCTGATATGTGGCTCAAATGATTGAGTGTTTGGGAAGCATGGCTGGGAATGCTATTTCCTGCAGTTGAGCCCTCTTAGAAACTTCTGGGAGGCCTGACCACTGCAGCTATAGGGGAAGAGAGTTGGGAGTGGCCCCTTCACAGGGTCACACAGCTATCAGGTTTATTGTAGCAAATAGAAGCCTGATCTCTGAAGCCAGTCTGTCTTTGCTCCTTGATCCTGCCTGCATCTTGTTTTGCTTTGCTTTGGTGGAACTTAAAATTCCCTGCAGCCTTTGGCCCTTGTACAATCTGTTGCCTTCAAGCTGCCTTCCTACCTTCCAGTCCCACTGCCCTCCTTTCTCACTGCCTATCTTGCTTCCCCCCTTTTTTCTTCTTCTGTCAAAATGTATTGAGTTCAAAAAACTTGGAATTAAATTTTTATACGTATTAATGTGTGTATATGTGTGCCGTGCACGTCCACACGCTCCATAGCCTGTGTGTGGAGGTCAAAAGACAACTTGTGGGAGTCAGTTTTCTCCTTCTATGATGTGGGTCCTGTCTCTATTGCCCCAGTGCTGGGATTATAGGTACTTACTGTCATGCCAGGCTCTTATGTGCATGCTGGGGATTTGAACTCAGGTCCTCATGCTTGCACACCAAGCACTTTGCTGATGGAGCCATGTCCCTAGTCCCTGTTTTTGATTGAGTGTGGGTCTTGAAGTCTCTATCCGTGATGCATCATGATAGCCTGTAATCTTGGCACTTGGGAGGCAGAGGCAGGAATGTTTGTGCAAGATGGAAGACAGCATGATCTACAGACCGAGTTCCTGTCTGGGCTACATAGTGGGACTCTGACTCTAGAAGCAGCGACAGGAACAAAAATGGTGTGTGTGTGTGTGTGTGTGTGTGTGTGTGTGTGTGTGTGATAGAATGGTATGGAGCCCAGATTAGCCTTGCACCTATGCTTCTCTTGCCTTCAGCTCCCAAGCGCTGGGATTAGAGGCTGGGTCCACCATACCCGGTTTCCCAAACTGTTTCTCTTTTCCGCTTATTTTCTGATCCAGATGTACTGAGATGAAGATAAGCTTGGTTACTTTTCTTGTCATTGTGAGCAGGTCCATCAGGCATGTCAGCAGAGCACGGCGACAGGCCTCTCTGTGGAGCTGTGAGTGTGTGGCAGTGTGTCTACATCCTAGTGGCTGAGAAGCAGAGAAGGGGAATGCCAGCACTCAGTGGGCTTCTTCCTGCCCCCCTTTTCTATTCAGACCAGGACCCCAGGCCATGGGAAGGTCCCCACCATGCTCAGCATGGGTCTTCTTTCCTCAGTTAAACCGCCTGGAAAATATCCTGCCCTCACAGCCATGCCCAGACTCTCCTAGTTGACTCTAAATATAATCAAATTGTCACTAAGGATTAATGGTGGACTGACTGGGCCACGGGCTTCTCTCTCCTCTATGGCAACTGTCATGGATTGTAGGTGAGCTTTATTTCAGAAACTCTGATTCAGGCACCCCCCAAGACTCCCTGTGCTTCTAGAACTGAGTCTATACCTCACTCCTGTACTAGAAGCACCCCAAACACCCAGATAAGAGGGTATTGCTGTGTAGCCTAGGCTGGCACAGAACTCAGACTCCCAAGGGCTAGGATTCCAGGTGTGCACCATTACACTCATCTCAAAGCACTAGTGACCTGGTCCATTGATCTCATTTTCTCATTAATGTCCTCACATCCCAAGCGAAATAACCTGTAAAGAATGGAATGATGAAGTTGCACAATTCGATAATTGACATGAAGTGAAAGAACTCAGACCTCACTACCACTGAGTGATGACTATGCGCTAGGTGCTAAGGACTTTACACACGGCTAGGGCAAAGCCCTTGCTGCCCGTGCACAAGGCCTAGAGTTTGGATCCTCGGCATCCACAAAAAAGCCAGGTGGGCACTGTTGCCTCTCTGTAATCTCAGCACACGGGAAGCAGAGATGGGGATCTCCAGAGCAAGCTGGCTAGATTAAAGAGATGGTGAGCTCTGGGCTTGAGTGAGAGACCCTGTTTCAGTATATGAGGTGAAGGGTGATAGAGAAAGACACTGGATGCTAACCCTGGGCCTCCACACGTATAGGTACACAGGCATGCACACTGGCACACATTCAAAACATGCATGTCCACACACATGCTATACACATATACACACGCATAAAAAC